GAAAATTCATATTGTTTTGTGCAATGACATGAAACAATATGAATTTTCGATCGTTATATTGCTGTTATTCTAGAATGCTAGATCTATTCCTTTTATATACTCTATCCACTCCCACCTGAGTGGCAGTGGCAAGAGCTGTGGGAGACGCGGCAATGATTTGTGCTGGCGAAGAGTTTCCCTTAGATGAATCCGTGCTGTTGAGACGAACAACTCCCACCGTCTGCTGCTGCTGTGATTGTCCTCCTCCGTTTTGTCCTTGACTCGACGATGGATGTGACGAGGAATGAGGCGTCGCTTGCTGTATCAGAACATTGGACTTGTCATCCTCTTCGCTGAACGCCGGTAGAAGATCTTCTCTTCCGTGGAATTTATAACAATTTATTACAATTTGACGTAACGCGTGAGTCCATGAGATCTGAAATAAATTAAAGCACCGTCATACGTCATCTCAATTTTCATTTTAACACTCAATTAAAATTCTTAAAAATAAATATGTATTTATTAAACATGTAAGACAGCAAAGAACATAAGAAACCATATATATTCCTCGCATTAAATTTCAAAGGTTATAATTATTTTTCTGAGTTATCAATGTATTTTTATATTTTAATGATATAAAGAAAAAATAAAAGAAAAAAATGAAATATAAAAAGAAAAATATGAAATAATTCTATTTAATATTTTGATATCTAAGCAGAGCGAGATAATATGATAGAGAAAGAACAGAAAATGTTTTTACTGACTTTTACTCACTTTTTGTTTTTCGTCCTCTGATCGCGCATCCATCCGAACATTAGCCCAAGGTAATTCCTTAGGCCACCAAGGAGGTCGCGTGCTATCTCTACCCCAACCAGGTTTACCTCTACCCGTAGAATACTTCAACATCAATGGGATAAATGCCCTGAGTTGTGCCTGTGTCATTTTTTCAACTGGAGTTGGTATGCCATCGATTATAAGCGGTGGTAATTCATATAGTGATGGATCGTCCTGTACGGGAGGAGGCGCTTGTTGTGCAAGTGCATTTTCCAATTCCTCCATGATAACGCTCCTTAGATTTTTAACTACATCTTCCAATGGTTTTGCACCAAAGACTTTGTAACTACTATTTGGTTTACCCGGCGTAGCCACTAGCACTACTGCCTGCTGTCCCACTCGTGTAGCGAATTCATCAATAGTTTGCTGTAATAAATTCAATAATGATACTAAACTTCTAAAATAGATATATTACTGTAAGATCATATGTGCAAGAATACAAGAATATGTATATAAAATAATGAAAATACGATAAATCATTAAAAAGAATTTCACTTACTCTAAGCTTTCTTAGAAGCCTGTTTTGTTGTCTTTTTCTGATACTGGGATTAGTTTCAAAACTGTGAGGTCGTTTTCTCTTCTTAGCTGACACAATAGCAGCAGCTGCAGCAACACCGACAGGGCCTAAAGATTTGTTTAACGTAGAAGAAATATTTTCTTTAGCAGTTTCTAACTTTATATTTTTTTTGGTATGCCAATATAAATTAAGAATAGAATAAAACAATCTTTGAAAATATTTTCAAATTAACGGTAAAGTAAAAACATTTATTTAAAATAAATTTATTAAAGCAAAGATTTAACAAATATATTGGCATATTAACAATAAAAATGTATTTCTAAACATACTAAACATACAAAACAAAGGAGGATACATAAGCAACAATGAAATAGAAAACATGGTTAGAATAAAAAATCAAGTCCAAGAAATTTGGACATTATGATTCAAATAATATAATTTTGATATTAAATTAACTCAAAGTAATTAAAATAATTATACAAAAAAATTTTATAAATCTGAGAAATCACCAAAGGAAATATATAAGATATGAAGAAAAATAAAATTCTATATAAGATGTAATAAAATCTTACCTAAGATATTTAACATCAAGTGCATTATATCAATAAAAATATAGAAAAATATTAGACTGTATTTATAGTTCAGACTCAAAAAAGAAATGTCATTTGTTTAAAAATGATATTAATTATTAATTATCTTATTTAATTAATTTATTGGTTAAAAATTCTTTCCATTCTTATAATAAAAACAAAATTGCTTTATTTTAGGGATAAGAGATAAGTCCCCAAACGGAAGATAAAATATTAATAATATTTATAATACTAATAATATAAAAAACTAAAGGCAATGTTTTTAGCTTAAATTTATTATACTAGAATTCAAAAAATTGTTGGCTATAAATACAGTCATTAATATTAGCGACATAAAGCAAGTGAAGACATAATACACAAACACTGTAAAATGCATATATGGCACACAATTATATTATTGATGCATAAATCATAAGCTTATGAATAGTTTAATTAGTAGAAATGAAAAAAATATATATTTTAAATAGATATCATGCTATCTGATGATTAATTTATTAAAAAAAAATGTTTAATTTAAAAAACTGGAGTTATATAAAAAATTAGACAATTATTTTTAATTAATATTTATTACATTCGATATATCGACGATGACACATCTTAATTTAATTAATTAGACTGATGTAAATTCATGAAGGAAATTGCCTTTGATAATATTGATGTGGAAAAAAATTGTAAATGTGAAATATGATTTTGATAAATCGTTTATGCAGCGCATATTTTTGTGTAAGTTATATTTACGTATAACAAAAGTGTATGTCCAATCAAATTTTCTTACTTGAAGTTTAGTGATCTTACTGGAAAGATCGGCTGTAATGTTAAATAATGCCCTAGCAGGGCGACTAAGCATCCTGTATATCGTACTTGACTTAAATAAAGATGATTAAGAATGGACAAAAAAAAAAAAACCATAAAAGGTGAAAAAGCGAAAAAAAATGGGAAATCACCATCAATGTGTTTGATTTGCCAACCTGCTGCTGCGAGCTGAGCTGTTACATCGTCATCCATTGCAGCCGAAAGAAGATCCCCTTCTTCGTAGGTTTCAGATCCACTACTAGGCTCATCGTCATCGTCGTCCGAGAGTCTGGCCATGGTGCTAGTCTCGGCGTTTTGCATAGACACCATTTTCTTCTCCTTGTCACCCGTTTTGGCGACTTGTATATCGCAACCGCTCGTTAACAGAAAGTCGTGATGTCGTCGATTTGGCAGTTTCAATTTCTTCTACATCACCTTAGCCTGATATGATAAAATATCAAAGTTTTTTTTTTTAGAAGTCGACCTCCTGCATTCATATATGGGATACGATCGTCGTGTTAAAAAAGTAT